AAATTAACTTTATCTGAGCACTCCCTTCACTTTCCATACAGGTTTAAAGATGATGATTTAGATACTGTGATCAGGAAAACACACAACTTACAGTCAGACTTAATTCAAGGTCGAACTACAATATACATGCAAAAGACTGCTGTGTCTTTAGAGACAGTCATTTGCTCTGTGAGTTGTTATTTGCATCGTTAAGCCCGAGCACCTAATGCAACACAGAAGTAAAGGTGCACTAAAACAAACCCTACAACATGCAGATGCCCCCACAGTCACAACAATCTTACTTTAAGCTTTTCCTGTTTGTTACACCTTGGGCCATTCCACTGAACAATGGTTTTTCCAATGTCCAACAAAAACACATCTCCAAGGTTGAAGCTCTTCCAGCTCATCTCCACCTGAAACAAATTCAAGCATAAAGCACTCTTTTGTACACAGCTTCCTGTGCGCCATAAACATTACATAACCACTGTGAAGCATGGCTCACCTCTCTGGCAATCACTCTCTTCTTCCCTTTGACATGGAGCAGCCTCTTCACATCATAGGAGTTGGTTTCTGTGTGCCTCATACCTGATGCAACTCCACCTTTCTTATAGCTAAACAAGACAAGATCATTATATTAACGATTTATTTAACCATGGCCTACTGCAGTAACACTCACATTATTCCATGTTTGAAGTATCCCCTGAAGGCATCAGACTCGTGGTTCTGAACCTCGCGGTGCTGGACCGGAGTGCAGCCCAAGAATTCATCGAGCTGTATGGTGTAAACAGCAGCTGCTCCCTGTTCATCCTGAGAGGACTGTGAACCAATCCAGTAGTGGATATCATAACACAGAGAGCTGCTCACCTTCTGTGTCTGGACAAACCAAAGAGGACAAACAGAGGATGAGGGCTGGTGTATAGATGAGGATACTTTCTGATATGGTATATAAAAATATATAAGAGCATTATTCAAAGTCTACAAATACAACAGTGAGCTGTACTCGACAAACAAGCTGCCCTGGCACTGAAAACCACATGATTCATTCATTCAGACTTACAGACAGAAGCACGTAGCAGTCACCATCATAAAAGCTCCCAGTAGATTTCTCTGGGACTTGTACCAGCTCCAATTTCTGTAGCACAGAGTGAAGAAAAAAACTAAATCTGCATCACATAGTAGTTGTTCCGCCATTGCTGCTCACTAACTTTCAGTCATTTGCTACTGGTCAAGCAATAGGAGTTTCTTTTCTTAAATCATCAAATCAAACAGTTCATTTGGCAAAATGTCAGTCCACAGTCATTGTTTCAGCAACTGAAGTCACATTACCTCAATTCTCCAGATTATAATCCCAGGGCTGTGAGTTACTGCTCTGAATGTGAACTCCATGTTGCTCAGATGAATTCAGTGCCGGTGGGACTTGAGCACTTTTGTTGTTGGAAGAGAAAATCAGAAGTACAAAATTCATGTTTGTGCAGCATTAGATAGTCTGTGTTGTTAAATCTCAGAGCAGCACAAAAATTGAATCCATCCATTATCTCTACCACTCATCCTTTGTATTATATAGTCTATAAATTAAAGATTCAAAAGTTTTCTTTTCCATAGTTTTCTTTTTCTTGATAATCTGGAAACCCTCCCATTGAGCCAATTAAATCTCATATTTTCATATACTATGAAATAGTACATACCTGGTATTCTTGTTTGAAGAGGATCTTCTGAGTTTATGATCTTCCACCAGTTGATCCGCTGTCCGATAACAAAAGGCCCTCAATCCTCTTCCCCTCCGTGCCCCACATTTGCCTGTGTTTGCATGTTTCAGGACGTTTCACGCTGTTCTGCCCAATCACTGAGGACACTCACAATCCTGTAAACAAATGTGCTGAAAAAAAAGGATTGACTCACATGCAAATGAACACACAGAGGCACTGATCATTGTCGTCACAACCATTCCCTCCCATCCCACTCGGCTGTATGCCCCCACATTCACTCCATATATGGATATAGTATACACAGCTTCAGGTAGATAGACTATAAATAATAATAATAATAATAATAACTTTTGAACTATGCCACTATTCTGTGTTAGTGACAGTGAAGCACGTGCAGACAGACTCACTGCAGAGGTGCTGACAATATGAAAATGCAAACCTATTCCGTTGTACTTTATGTAGAATGAATATGATACAATTCTGATTGCAAAATGTATATACCGCTCCTGATACACAGGGTGCAGTTTGCATGAAATCATAAAAGAGCATTAAAGGTCCAGTGTGTACGATTTAGGTGAAAGGAAACTATTGGCAGAAATTTAATGTAGAATAATCCTCATGATGTTTTCACTAGTTGGTTTCATCTAAATTGTATGAATTGTAGTTTTCTTTACTCTAGAAAAGACTCTTTATATTTAAATACTTTATATTTACATCGAGGGGACCCTCTCTACGGAGGAGCCATGTTTTTTAGTCCAGACTGGACAAACTAAACACCTTTTGAGCTTTATGACAACTAAAGGCTACCGCAGGTTCTTTTTCTTGTTTGGTAGGAGAGGGTGAGGTGAGGGGTGTTCAGCTGCAACATGTAATTTCAACATTAGATATCACAAAATTCTACACACTGTACCTTAAAGGAAACATAGAATGCTCCAGTTGTCAGCGTGATGATAGAGAGACTGGATTCAATGTGCAGGAACAGCTCAGGACACACAAAATAGATTTAACAATGGGGTTCGGAAGAACTGATCAGAGGGAGTGAACTCGAGGAAATCTGAGGATAAAGGTGCGGCTGAGGAAGCTGGCTGAGCGTGACTGAGCTGAACAGATGAGCAGGTGATTCTGGGGCAAGGGAGGACAAAGCAGGGTTAGTGGGGAGCAGGCGGGCAAACACACCAAAAACACAGGTAGCATGGCACTCAGAGCGCATACGTCCACAAAACAGTCCCCTTATGAAAGCACATTTAAATTCACTAGATCCAGATTATCATTCATAACAACCCCCTAAACATGCCTCATGTTTATCATCAGGATCAATGCATTGATCAATGGAAATGTTCTCACCACTGTGTCGATGGAGGGTGGGTGAAGTGTTTGAGTCCACAAAACACTTATGGAGTTTCAGGGGTAAAAAGCGCTGCAGCCAAATTCAATACAATTAAAGTCAATGGTGACCGATTCTTCAAATGTAAAAAACAACAACATAAACAACATAAAATGCCTCCATACTGCTCCTGTAGTGTCATACGAGTGTCAATAAACCAATAAACCCGACATTCAAATGGCGTCATTGCTACAAATTTGCATTTGTGCATGGATCACAGCAGACATTTCTATGAATCCCTAAACTAGTTAAAATGATGAGATGACACATTTGACACATCTGCTTCCCTACTGCAACAACACAACCAAACACACACACACACACAGTAATTATGTGCTTGAGCTGACTTTCCGTCACTTTAAGTGGAAACAACCTACAGGAAAAAGAGGTGTTCAGTGATGTCATCTAGCTGTTTCATAGCAACGTGGTCTTATAAATGACAGAGGGAGCAGAGGCAGTTTAAAACATTTTTCCTATTTCCCCGGTAAATCAGCATTCAACAAACCAATTGTAGTTTTTTATGCTTTAGACATTATTACTACTATTAAACCTGTTCCTGTGCAATGGAACAGCTGGAAAATGTTGTAAAGCAGTTTCACACTAGATAAATCCATTTTGAAAAGAAAATATTTCACACATTGTTTTAGTCAAGATTTCTTCCAGCATAAATATGACATTTGAACACATTTCAGGTTTACATGAAAAAAACCATCTGGATTAATCTGCAACCATTTTCCCCACATGTCATCTGTATCATGGCATATTAGAGGATGTCACAAGATCCAAGAAATACATCTGGTAGAATTGTTAGACAGTTTTACATTTTTTAAGTCTGTCTTGTTACTCACATGTTCATATGTACAGTGGAAAAAATATTGGTCTTCTCCTGAAGGCACCCCCTCTTGGTGCAACTCCCCAGTAGAAGACAGGGAACAAAAATGCATTTTAACTTTTAAAATCATCTATTGCCTCACAAGAAGGTTCCTGGTTAGAATCCCGGTTTGGTCGGGGTCTTTCTGTTTGGAGCTTGCATGTTCCCCCTGTATCTGCATGGGTCGACATGCAGATGCATGTAGATCGGGGTTCAGGATCGTTTGAGACACTACTGATGTGTGTGAATGTTAGTGTGAATAGTTGTTTGCGGTTGGCCCTGTGCTGGACGGATGACATGTCCAGTATGTCCTCCATCAGCTGGGATTGACTCCTGCCTGCTGTGATCCTCAAAAGGTTGAGTGTAAAGACAATCAATGGATGGATGGGTTTTTCAGATTTTTAACACAGATTGTTAAACAACAATTGAATCATAATTTCCACAGTTCTATTCATATGTCAGTTACAAACAACAACAAAATTAAAGAACTGAAATAGAATAAATGACTACAATTGAAAAAAGAAAAACGCCTACATGTCTTGGTACCATCATGCCAAATGTTCCAAGTAGTATCCTGGCAGCACAGGAGTTTGAGTTAAGCTGCTGTACCATACACCACAAGGTAAACGATATATTTTCCACATTTGAAAGACAGATAAAGAAATAGCTCTTTGGGATAATACTTCACAACAGGAGACCCAGTTCATGAGGCATCATTGTTTCTTTATATGTACATATAATACATGGAACATATTCAGCTTCTGCAGAAGACTCCTGCTGGTACACATCTATAGTAAGTATGACCCATAATATCTTCCCCTTCATGCAGGAGAACAGTGCCTCACTGACTCCTGACTCACATTTCCGTTCCTGCTCCTGTGATTCTGTGCTACAACAGTGTCCAGTATTCTCAAGATATTAAGGTTCCAAACCCCTCAATAAAAAAAATACCCCCAAGATGTTATATTCTTTTGGTTTTTCAATTTATCATCCAGGTAAGAAGTCAAAATGAGAAGGAGTGTATTGTCTCTGTCTGACTTTATGCTTCCATCTTTACCAGATGTTTGTGGCTCCTCCCAGAGAAGCTTGGTAAAACATTCCAGCCCACCTCTGAGAATCTGCTGGCTCCTCCACACGCTGCCACTGAGCTCCAGTCAAGATTTTACAGGAGGTGGAGAGAGACACTAAGCTGACACAGAAATGAGAGGACTTGTTGTCTTGGTTACTTTGGCCTGCTTTGCCAACGCTCAGCACCAAGCACTGATTGACTATTTGGAGCGGAGGCTGCTTGCTATTGAGGTAAGACCTCCCTTTACCTCCCTGTCGAGCCCTGCGCTCCCTCTGAGTCCCTCTGAGAGGAAACTCTCAGGGACAGGGCACCAGGCAATGGAATGCAGATGTGGGCAAATCCTGGGGAAAATGCTGGAAAATACAGCAGTGTGTTGGGAGTATTATGAGATTCTTGTCTGGGATATGTATACAGTGTGTATTTGTACATAAATGACAAACAAAAATCTAGTGTATTATATGCCCTACTTTGTTTGCAAGGTTTGTACCATCTTCATCCTAAAACATCTGTCTATAATTTTTTTTGTGGAGAAATTTATATCATTCAATTGTTTGAACTTCAGGAAACAGATGCTAAACTCCCAGTACTCGCTTGTCATCTAGATGCACACATTCTGATACTTTGGTTTTGTTCGTATGAAAAACTCTAAGAAATGTTCCGTTATCTTCTGTCTAAAATTCCTTCAATCCCATGTTGAAATAAACTCTCTCAAACTATCATTCAATCATGTCTCTTGGTCATCTCTTTATTGTTCTGTGAAGTGGAGTCAGACTTTTCTGATCACCTGCAGAGAAACTTGTTTCTGTTCTCTCCTCCAGCGAGGTCAGAGGTCAGGGTGTGCTACAGAGTGGCGCCCACACAGAGCCCTGGAAAGAGGTTTAGTTAAACGACATGTGAGCAGGGAGGATACTTGCCACGTGAAGGTTGAACCTGGTTGTTTGAAGGATCAGTTTCCTACTTATTATGTCCCAATCTATTCATTAAGCCTGAGCCGAACATCAAATTATGGCCTTCTCTGTGTTTCCAGGAATACACGCACTGTTCTTGTAAAACAAAAATATCCGTGTGTAATATAAGTATTGTCTATAAGAGGGCGCCTAGTCCCTTTTGTGCTTGTGTTTTGATTCAGATTAAACTAATCCCCCTCTGTGAACAGGACCGGATCTCTCTGTGGCACGAACAGACCACTCGTTATGCCTCGGAGCTGCGAGAGCTGAAGCAACAGATGGTTTCCCAGCTGGAGACCTTGGACAAAGAGAAAGAGGCGCTGAGAATGAATCTGGACGGTGTAGGCACCAGGGTGGACCGGGTGGAGCGAGAGCTGGACTACCTGGAGACGCAGAACGGGGTTCAGCCGTGTGTGGATGTGGACGACAAGTTGATAGAGCAGCAGGTAACTCTGGTGCAGGAGAAGCAGAAGGCCAAATATTTTAAACTCTCAGGTGAGATATCATGCTCCTAAACTGCACTTACAGTAACACTACCTGTTCATTTTCAGTATAAACTCTGCATTTTGTTGATGACCATGAAAATACTTATTTTGTGACTACAGTATAATAATAATATGACAAACACTTAAACAGACCAGAAATTGACCCTAGGTGATAGTATATGTTGCCCTGGTGATACCCTGGTGTCCAGGATGTGCCTCCTCTCTTGCCCAATGTCTGCTGGGTTTGGCACTGACTCTCAAAGGATAAACTGTATAGATAAGGGAAGGATGAAGGTTTATTTGCCTTTTTGCCAAACATCTTTTGAAAACATTTATATCTAACTTTGGATATGAAACTGGAACCGGCAGCACATTGGTGTGGCTTGGCATAAAGACCAACCTGACTTTGTCTAAGGGAAACAAAATCCACCTGCCAGCACCTCTGAAGCTGAGTGATGAATATTTCTTCCTAAGTGTAAAAATGACTGGCTGTGGTTTACTATTTATTGAATGGGCGCAGTGGAACACTTAAAAAGCAGATTTCCTAATTTTCTAAAATGAAAACTTGTCAAATACCCATCACATAAGAACTCTCCCTCTCTTCTATTCAGACTGCAGTGACATGATCTCCAGTATAAAAGCCATGAAGATCTTAAAGCGAGTTGGAGGACCAAAGGGCATGTGGACTAAAGACAGCAGTAGGGGCTCTGGGAAGGTCTACGTCTTTAATGGGACGGATGACGACACCATCCATGAGTTTTCCTCTGCGCAAGACTTCACCCGCTCTCCGGGTCTGTCTCTGTCCAAGAGCCTGAAGCTGCCCTCATCCTGGAGGGGAACAGGACACATCATCTACAACAACCACGCCTATTATGTAAATCAGGTTGAGGATGTAATGGTGGTTAAATATGACATGAAGACCAACTCTGTGACGGACAGTGCTGTGTTTCCAGTTCAGGACCATGTCCCTGTGTACGGCCTGACCCCCGAGACAGTGATGGACCTGGCTGTGGATGAGGAAGGCCTGTGGGCCATTTACGCCACCCGGCAGAACGAGCGGCACATCTCTCTGGCTAAAATGGACGCCAACTCGCTGGACATCGAGCAGATGTGGGACACAAACTGCCCGAGAGAGAACGCAGAGTCGGCGTTTGTCATCTGTGGCACTCTCTATGTGGTGTACAACACCAAGCAGCCCGGCCGCTCACGTGTTCAGTGTGTGTTTGATGTCAATGGCATGGTGAGCAACGAAGAGGCGCCACTGGTTTATTTTCCCAAACGCTATGGAGCTCACTCCAGTCTCAAGTACAACCCACAGGAGCGGCTGCTGTACGCCTGGGATGATGGCTACCAGATCCTGTACAAGCTTGTCATGAAAAAGAAACTAGAAATATAAATTGATTCATAATCAAAATCATCCTCCCAAAACTCCCACTAACCTACCTACAGGCGTTTTTTTGCAAAGTTTAGTTACTTGCAAAATCATATATAATTCATATAACTGGCGACCATTTTATAATGTGTGTTGTAGAATTTCAGATTTTAAAATTAGTTCATTTTAGGGAAGCCATTAGTTTCCATTTCATATACTATTGAATCATAGATCATAGAAATAAGTAACAATGCCACTGCAGTAATTCAGTTAATAGTTGATTTATAATTTAAAGCTAATGTTAAGTTTGATGCGTTAAACAACTCGACAATGTTTCAAGAGTGTCACTACATTTCCCTGTGAGTAAACTAGAATGGCACTCAGTAGATTGCAAACTTCCAACAGTCAGTGGAGATAATATTCTTTAACAGTAAGAAAAATACATTCAAAAATCTGAAACCTGAAATCTGAAAAAAGTTTTTCAAATAATGTTTGAGCAATGTTTGAAGCTAACGTGAACGCACAGTTACAAAAATGCTAAATTACTGTTATGTTCTTTAATGTTTGTTTTTTTTGATTGGAGAAATTTGTACTTTCACAGGTTCAGGTTTGAATTTAAGACCGGACTCTGAGGGCAGAACACTGCAGGATCTGAGACAAAGAATAGTTTCACAGGTTTCATGTGAAAACCTGAATCAAAGACTGAGACTGAATGTGGTAACAGAGTGACTGTTCACAGAGTCTGACAGGCTGCGGAGCAGTTTTCCAGAGTTTCAGAGGTTTAGGCTGAGTCAAGGGCTGGCAGGTGTCCAACCTGTAAGTGTGGTAATGAGAGCTGGCTGAGCGTGGCAGGAACTTTAGGTCAAAAAAAGAAAAGACACAGTGATCATTATTCAGGCAGAGAGGCAGGTAAGAAAACCTACAAAAAGATTGAAATACTAGAATAGCATTCAGCAGCGTGCATACTTCTGCTAAAAGGGCCCTTAAGTTGTTTTGAGACATTTTCCTAAAAATGTCAAGGGGTTGTTTGTGAGAGCACAAATGTCCAAGTCAATTGCTCCAGACATTTTTGGGTAATTTTCCTGCCAGCCCACTGATGAAATGTGGAGAAATGGTTGTGTTGATGGCGATTCTAACATGCGACGGATGCAAAAGTGAAAAAAACAAAAACAATACAGATGTCTGAGGATGAAAATGAGGTGCCGTACACGTAGACGATGGGATGAAGAAGTAAAGATGGAAAAACAGCGAGATTCGAGAGCTGTTGGTGATAAGGGCAGACACCAAGACACCAGACATTTTTGTGATGACATGAAAAAAGGGATTAAACAAATCCTGGATCTGCACCTTTAGTCAAATCTGCTCCAAACATCTTCATCAGCTCAGCAGGTTTTAATCCTGCCGAAATCCTGACACACTTTCAGATGTGAACACGAGAGATAATGTGAGTTTTTTTATCAGAGGCACAGAGTCTCATGGTCGGCCAAATCTTATTTCTAATCACACTGTATTGCTGCTGGTGGGCCAACTTGAATAGGTTTACTGTACTTGATCTCTGGGGTTGTTCCAAAGACCCTTATCCCCTTCTGATGCAAATATTATACAAATGAAGATCACACCATAGGTTTAAACCTTTTCGTACGTACACCTGATCTGTCAGTTTGACAGATAAGTCAGTCTAAATAAAGGCTTCAGTGTTGTTTAACTAGTCACAATATAGCATTCATTATATTGACTAAGAAGCCACGGTTAGTTCAGAGGATGGCATCAAAAATAGACATTTATTAAATTGAATTACTTACCACAAATTTCTAGTGATCGGATCAATAAAGTTTAATACCAACAACTATAATCATCAAATGGTGTCACCTGTATAGCATCCTCAACAAAACTGTCACTGCAGGTAAAAAACAGCTAGCTGGCTAGCACTAATATATATTTCTCTTTTTGTTTATCTTTCCTACAAGCCAAGCACATGTGTTTCTTGTGGTGTTAATTTTTTACTAAATGAAATCACTAAAATTAGCAGAGCACCACCATTCTCATTTAATGCATTATCATTATAGTAAATAATTTATATACCAGTATAAAATATATTTCTTGTTTGTTTGTTTACAAGATGCTAATATTCCCACATTTTACTTTCCTTCTTGTTACTGTTCTTTATTGACTAAATGGTAAACTAGATGTGTTAGCTCTTGGACCCTGTATTTTTCTATAAACAGTCAGTAGAGATACAAACGTATTAAAGCCACTATGTAGGATTTTAACGTTTTAGACTTTTTCTATTTACACTGTTGCTAAAATGCTTTTTTTCACCCTGCTTCCTGGAAAGTGAATCTCTGTATTGTTTGACATGACGTCAAAGTATGGCGTGACAAATAAAAACGCATTCCTGTTTAAAAGATTTGGTTGACTGCTTATACTGTATTTCATATTTAACACAACTGGTTGACTCCAGTGAGTTCTTGAATGGAAAGGTTTGCTGAGTTTTGTGCTGCTTTCTTTAACCTTGTTGACATAACCTCAAGGGTCTTGTTTTTTGCACGTGTGTATGTGTACAAATAACTTAATACAATGTGGATGGATTTTCACTAAACTAGGAATCTCACTTGGAAGGGTATCTCCAGATGATTCTTTTTTGGAGCTGATTATTTATTATTCATCATCTGGTTCAAATTGCATCATGATAACATGACATAATTTGTAATACATTATGAAATGCTACTATTACAACTTTGCCTGTCTGGGGTAAATACAGTGTATTTACACACACAGGATATTTATCACCCCTCCAATGTTTTTCATTCCAGTTCTCTTCCCTATTTAAACACTCAGAAATAATCATATGCAGACACAGATTTCATAACTCAACTAACTACTCTGCCTCTCCCTCATGAACCTCTTGTGGCTCATCCTTTTCAAACCTGCCACCACCACACGTTCCCTGTCTGTGTGAGTGGACAGACCGGGGTGGGGGGGAATCATCAGTCTTACTATAACCAAAGGAAACAGTCCATAATCAAACATCAAAATAAAACCATGTGGAAAACACTGTTGCCCAGTCCATGTGACAACAACTGCACTATCATGATGTTAGATTTAACGTTAACTCAACATGAAGGATGAAACTTGGCACAGACCCAGAGCAGTACTCTCATCCATACCTCCTAAATATTTACTTGTCGCACTGTCAATGCACATGCCATCATGTTTTCCTCATATAAATTTGACTTGGGCACATTAAACTCAGACACAAACAGTTCATTGTCAGTATTTCAACTACACCATCTCTAAAAAGTAACCAGGTTAACATAAGCATTAATCACAAGTTTCTTAATGTGTGATGAAATGTTGACGTGGGCCAATGTAATGTGCCAAGACTAATGAGGTGAGTAATATGATTTAATCGGGCGAGACAGTATTTGACTCTGGTATTTGAGTCTGACTAATTATTTGGCCGAATTGTTTCACTTGACTCCAGAATTGAAGAAAACACGATTAGAAGAATAAAATGACCAACAGACTCAGTTATTGATCTTTCAAATGAACCATCTGCAGTGAAAACTTGAAACCAACATCACCAGTAACAGTTATTTGAACAAGTTTATTTTTTTTCAAACTGTAAATAAAAACAGTTCATTAGGTTTTGATAAAATCTAGAGTAAGAAAAATGCAACAGCATATTAAATTCTGTAAAAATCTGAATTACACCAGGAAACATTTGAACATCACAATTGTACGGTATGTACAAAGCTGAGAACTTCAGGAGCATTTCTTTTTGTTTAACAACCAAAGGTGCAGTTTTAAAAGTCACTTCAAGATACTCGGGACCCAATTTCTGAATCAAACTGTGAGAAACATCAAACTAGAAGAACACAGTTAGAATCTTTTGTCCAACTGTTATACATCAGCTGACGAGGTCTGCTGTGGGACAACTTGTGCTGACTCCATCATCACCTGTTATTTGCACTATCCCACAAATGTATGAATTAACATTTACTTCTAGAATGTCTGGCAGACCATCCCAATCCTAAATAACATTTACATCAAAAATGTCCGCTGCACATGATGTTCAAACTTATGATATAACTATAACAACATCATGGCTGAACAGAACAACATTCAGGACATCCATGCTATGGAAAGCTTTTCGGTTTTTATCAAATAATCATTAAAGGATCAAACACATCCTGTAGTGTCCACTGTTCCAGGCACGGCCCTGAAAGAAGGCTGAGGTACAACGCTTGCACAAGTTTGGCAGAGAAATATCCTGATATTTAGCTGGACTCAGAGTCTCAGATGAGGAACTGGCATGGTGACGTCACGGAAGAATCGATGTACAAGGGCGTTTTTTGCAGATAACCTTTTGTTTGGATCGTAATTTAGCATCTCCTGCAAAGAGAAAAACAACAAGGACATGCAAGGTCAAATTAGTGACCACACAAAGATACAGGATCAACCTCTTTGATAATTGTTGATTGATTGTACTCTGTACAATGCCTTGAGATAATGTATGTTATGATTTGGTGCTTTAGAAATAAAAATGAATTTCGTGTTCTTACTCCCAGCAGTTCTCTTCCGTCCTCATCAAGAAGAGGAACCACTTTGGATAAATCCTGTTTGGCCCACTTTGGGAAAGATGGTTTGTAGTCGGGCATCGATGTGACTCCAGGCCAGACCGTCTCATCAGGTGTGCCCAAGGTGCGGAAGATTCTGAATAACTGATCAATCTCAGAGTCGCCGGGGAACAAGGCCCTCCTGGTGATCTGTTTAAGAGTGGGGAGAGCATTGAGCATCGTGCGTTTGCTTAATTTATTAAATATACAGAGAAGGATGAAACTGAACACATTACCATTTCAGCAAAGATGCAGCCTAGACTCCAGATGTCAACAGCTGTAGAGTAGTATTTGCATCCCAGGAGAATTTCTGGTGCTCTGTACCAAAGCGTTACCACCTGCAAAAATATCAAGTGTCAAGTTAGAATAAATCTAAATATCCACAAAAAAGATTTGCAGCAAGAGAAACACTTTCAGAACCAAAATGATATTTTCCTGGCTTCAGCAGAGCCTTCAGTTCACAGAAACAGAAAACTCTTCTTATGTTTTTAAATTGGAAGAAATCTGAAAGATTTCTGATGATGCGTTTTTGCTTTACTCTGAAACATTTTCAATTACACAAAAACAGACTTTGGAACAAGTTAACGTGTACAAATTATATCTGAGATCACAGCTTTGTCTTATTCAAGAGAAATATTTATAGAGTGATTCTGCCTTTGTCGATGTATGTTAAGGTTCATTCTCTATTTTGCTTAAGAAGCTTGTTTGTGTGGATAAAGAACAGTAGCTTTACAACTTACCTCATGTGTGTATGTACGAACAGGTACTCCGAAGGCTCTTGCAAGGCCAAAGTCAGCGAGCTTGATCTCCCCCAGAGCATTGATGAGGAGGTTCTGTGGCTTCAGGTCTCGATGCAGGACCCTGTGAGAGTGGCAGAAGGCCAGGCCTTGCAGCAGCTGGAAGAGATAACTCTAACAAACGCAAGAAATACAAACCCAGGTGACTTCATTTTCTTCTTGCTTTCTTTAACACAAATCAAAATTGGTCTGTTTTGCAGAAATAGCCGATGTTTACCTTCACCAGGGGAAGTGGGATGCCATTGACAGAGGAAGAGTCCATGAACTTCTTTAAATCCTGATTAAGGAACTCAAAGACAAGGTAGAGTTTGTTCTCTGTGTGGATGACGTCTCGCAGTCTGAAATGCATTAACGTACAGGCTTAACTTCCGCCAGACACTAACAGACATTAATTCAACAATTTTGCAAGAAGCTGAAGTTGTAACATTAAGCACTTACTTGACAATATTTGGGTGACTGAGCTCTTTGAGAAGTGAAATCTCTCGGATGGCAGTGCTTGGTACACCCTCTGTTTCCCTGAACGAAACACGGGACATGAAAAGGTTAAATTATTACGCTTGATTGCTAATCCCAGGTTCTATTTTATCATTTATTCCCACTTGGTTAGTGATTTCATAGTTTGCTATTCTTACTATAATTTTTTATTTCTTTTTATCAATATTTTCTGAATCATACGAGTCAGGGCAGACAGTAAATATATTCATACAAAACGTATATACATCCTGTAAATACATCAGTGCACCATCACTGGCAGTGAGCTAACAAATCAGGAAAGGCCTGATAAGCACATCAATGACTTCACTTGCTGTGGTGATACAAAGGTTAGAAAGACTGGATACAGTGACTCACTGATGCCACCTGCTGAAGCATAGGATGCCTTTACTTCTTCACAGAGAAGACATTAACAATAAAAAAGGACCAACATACAGATTGTTTTTTAAAACACTGCACTAAGACCCTGTGACCTCTTATGATAAAACAATGGCTATTTCCAGGACTGGGCGATATGTCCAAATATAATTATCACAATAAATGTCACATTATTAATATTTTACAAATTGAATTATGTGTTAAACTCCACACTGTGTTTGTACAATGCATAAGCATTGAATTAACCTTTTGTATTGAACCTTTGCCATAAGTTTTTTTTTATACTTGATCAATCATTTAACCCATTAAAAGACAAAAATGATTTTGATCATTTGAGGAATTATTAGAAAAATGAAAATACTTCTACTCTCTTATGGATGGGGACCAAAACACTACGTTTGTAATGTATTGGTTGTTTTCTGTTATGTGGATCATATTATGATGTCATAACTTTTTTAATGAATGTTGAAGAATGTGTATAATACTTAAAAGAGTATAATTTGAAGCTGCTGGTTAAAAACCCACTGATCTTGTGATGTTTTTCATTTGAACCCCTCAGGTGTGTTTGGTGCTTGGATGCTCTGTAAGTGTAGGTTTGACATTGACAATGATTTCAAAGATGTTTGACTGTGACAGAACGTGATGTTTCCTGTATTTGATTCAAAACCAGAAACAATTGATATATATATATTTATATCAAACAATGATACAACCCCCTGGATCCGTTATCACTGTCTCCTGAATGCTTCCCGTGAACACTGCACTTGAACTGGACTTGAGGAGAAGGAGCTGTTAGCTGGCAGATGTGTGGAAGTTAGCAAACGTTCACTTACGTGTCGAGCCTGATTTTCTTCAGAGCCACAGTTTCCCCGGTGACTTTGTTCTTGGCTTTGTAAACCACTCCATACGTCCCCTCTCCGATCTTCTCCACCTTCTGAAACGTCTCCATGTCCGGGTCACTTTGTTCCGCCGGTTAGCAACACTGCTCTTTGTGCGGGAGCTAACAGCCGCTCGGTGGCTAATGGGGAGACGACCGTTTACGAGCAGTGTGGACGGACATGCAACGAGCCGCTCCTACGGGGCTGCTGAGCGGGCTCCGGACTCACCGACAGCCCGGGGACGGAGCTCCGGGTGAGGGTAAACCTGCTCGGGTCAGACTGTATGAAGGTTCATTAGTTCGCCTGGTTATTGAAGCATATGTCAGGGTGGGGATTAGCACGGCGGCTGCCCCTCCATGGAAAACACTGAACCACTGTAACGTTTCCCGCGTTAGCCCGGGGGGCGTTTGTTTTCCCGCTCAATACACACCGTCTACCGAAGGCGGGCGGGATCTCTGAGCATGTCACTCCAGCATCCCCCAGCGTCCTCTGGGAGAGGAGTGCTGTGATCGAGTGACAACAGGGAGTGAGAGTGTTTTAAAAATGCACCGCCCGCTGTGCTTCAACCCCTGTGTTCATGGCGATGGCTGCAAGTGGGGAGGCGATCAATGTCGGGATGAGCAACGTACACAAAACGAGCAGCCCCCAGAAGTCATATGGTCAGACGACGATGACGTGTTACGTACTCAACGTCGGTTGTGTCTTTTGTTACTGACAGGACAAGAAGACAAAGAATACACACACTCTACACACACTCTACACACACTCTACACACACTCTACACACACTCTACACACAGTGATCTTCCTCCAGGCTTGGAAACAAAGATGGGAAAGTGTTTTTATTTTAATTAAATAACTTCAGATAATTAAGACTGGATCCACAAGGTTTTCACAAAAAAGCAGCACCAACATACTGTGTAATGTTGTAATGACAATAAGTTTGTCAATCAATCTGAGGGGATCTACTATAAAATGCAAACTTATGAATCTCATGTTTACGCTGTATTTATTATTTCTATTCCATTTATATTTAAGAAAAATATTGATTATAATCATGTTATATTGCAACTATTACTCCACCTGTTCCCTGTTTTTCCCTGTTATGGGACTAAAAAGGATTATTTTGTCTTATCTTATCTTATCTTGTCTTTGCTTATCTTGTGATCACTCTTTCGGCTGAAAAACAATAAATAGCTGATGGAAATGTCTTTAGCAATATTATGTAGAAAGAAATAACAATGAACTAACACAAGAATTAAGCAACACTGTATAAAATAAAGACAAAAAATATCAACGTCTCGTAGTTTTAAAAACCAAAATTCAAATGTGAAATCACTGCAGGAAAGGGGCCCTCCATCAGTTCACTACTGGAGAGGATGAATGGCTCCCTCTAGTGAAAGAAAATGTAACAGTTGCTGTGTAGAAGTGAGGTTTCTAATATTTTTCTGTCACGTCTCCAGTGTGGAAACTAAAAATGTTGTCATGTTGACACATTCCAAAACAAGCCATATTCATAGATTTAAAAAGAAAACACCTGCTTGTAAGAAGTTAAAACAATAACCTTAACCTCCAGACCCCACAACACCACCACTGCCCTGGAGTGCCTTTGTGTGCCTCCAGAGGAACATCCAGATTATCCAGTTACAGGACCCAGAGAAACAAATGAGCTGCTGAGGCCCAATAAAGCTCCTGTTTCCCCATTTTGTGCAACATGTAACAAAGGTGCCCAGCAGGACTCCAGCCGGTGGCATAGTAGTTATATGACGCCGCCTACGCCTCGATCATGTAAATCAACAGGTCACAGGGGGGCTTAGGTGAATAGGGTTGTTGTGGGTCAGCATTTAGGAATGGCTACATCTAGTCTCCAGACATGGAAGCATTCATACCAATACTGCACATGACCACTGCCCAGAGGCCTGTCTCCACCCAGCATTTCTAAGTAAGGTCTCTGTCTACCTCGAAGAAATTTCTTCTTGTTGAGAAATAAGAACGAGATCAAATGCTACTGGAGCTAGATGACAGCGCGGTTTCTTATTGGTTTTCTATTTTTCTGTGAAAGGGATGCCTGTCAATATTCTTTCTGGCTACAAATACATGTCTAACAGAGTTTGCTACTCACAGATTTAGAATAATCTGTGTGACCTTTGCTAATCTGGACACAGCCAGCCTCTGTCAGATTTACACCAGAAATGTGTCCTGATGAAAGTAGTGAAAGATTTCTGTTGCCCCAGTTCTGAGTGTTGCATTTGTGTTCATGAGGAGATCAAATGAAGGAATTAGGATCACTGGCAAAAATTAGTGAAGTTTGTTTAAACCTTGTGAATCCATTGAGCGGCTGTATTCATGAACTGATTTGACTGTCTGGTCTGATCTTTAGCTGGAGTTTTACAAACCAGATGGTCTTATCGATCGAACTTTTGATCAATTATAAAACACAATCGTCAATTTGTGTCAGTTAGTGTTGGAAAAGAGAAAGCGTGTGTGAGCATGTATGACTGTCGGGGAGGTCGGGGGGGGGCTTTGTGGTGTTACATAATTTTGAAAGCACTTCAAATTAACTGGGGCTGATCATTGCTTTGCCTTTTTATTCATTTATTGTGGCTATTCCCTCGTGGTTAAATATTCTAGTTTAATAACTGCAAATAACCTTAAAAATGAAAATCTGTCTGACATACAGCTCTTCAAATTTCAAGAAATTCACTTAACAGCTCAAACATTGCCATTAATCTGTTATACAGTGGAGCCTAGTGAAGAGAGAAGGTAACGGCTGACTGTTTGTGGTATGTTCAGTCAGGTGCTCTGTGGGATGGATTTCCTCCTGAACTGTGCTGTTAGCACATGAGGGGTCACATGTGGTGCAGTCTGAACAGTCTCTCAGGCATGAGGCAACATCAATGGAGAATCCACCAATCACTGTGGTAACAGAGCTCATGTGTGTGAAGATCTGAATAGAGTAAAATATAAATACTTGATTATCTCCTTTAGAACTGTATTCACATTTTCAAGTTGTTCTTTTAATTCAGCTTTAAATATGTTGTATTTATACACCACTCAAAGTGAAGTACAAGTGACATTCACACACTCATTCAGTGCTTCTACAGGCACTTCAGCATGTAGATTTGGGGAGCCGGGTTATAGTATTGACATGAATTTCTATTCTTAAACACAGAATAAACCTGTAAACACGACTCTGCTTTATTACACAGTAACTGATCAGTGGATTTCCTCCTTGTTTTACATAGGAAACCTAAATATTGCTTTTGTATTTTCCAGTTTTATTGCATATGATTACATGATCAATCTCAGAATGACATTAATAATTAATTATTTATGCATCAATGAGATCTTGTTTCAGGTTTTATTGATGTTATTTGTTCATGTTACTTGAAGATGCTGCACATGTTCAATGCTTCTAGATCAGATGAGACTCATCCTTGCTGGAAGAACCGTCTAAATAAGAGGAAAAAACACAGTTAACCTTGATGCAAAGTGTTTTTGTCCAATACTGGAGTATTTTCTGAGCAAAAACTTAAAATCTTCATCGCCTCTTCCTCTTGTCTTCATCAGATCTGAAGCTGTGGGATGTGTCTCATGAACTGAGGGTGTGCCTGTGTTGCTGCGAGCTCCGATTCTCGGAGCTGCAGCAGCCTGAAGGTGGACAGCAGGATGCGGAGGAATGGCTGAACGAATAAAAGGATGCCATTGATTTGCCGTCTGCACTTTCATCTCGTGACGCCCATGCTCACATAGCTGTGAGGTCAGACGTCAAACACAGGCATGACTCGAAGTACGCACACAGTTCTCTCCACCCTCCATCCTAAAGCAGACATCACATACAGAATCTGAATTTACACTGTGTAGAAAGCATTAGTGATTTTCCAGTAATCCATCCCATACTTGAGGGATGTTTGGAGGATATGAACCTCAACAATAAGGCCATGTTTTTATTTCTGATGTTCTGTCGGTCTGCAGGATTATGCAAAATGACTGTATGGACTTTGTAAATACTTGGTGGAAGAGTTGGGTATGGGCCAAAAAAGAACCCATTCAATTTTGATGGAGATCTGGACAAAGGGGTGTGTCCCGGACTTTCTTGTCACTTTCTCTAAGAGACTGATTTCTATGAGTGTGTGCAATTTGGTGCACTTTGTATTTAAGAGGACTGTTGGCAGATGCAGGCGCTCTACTGAGTGCCACTCAGGTGTTATTTCGTGTTCACTTGAGTTAGTTACATGCTCTTTATCCTTTTTTTTCCTGAACTGTAACTTTGCTCGAGCACCTTGTTGGAGATCTTGTAGCCTATTCACTGTGTAAAATCCAGTATCAGAATTAGAAAACTGTGGGAATTTGGTTTAAAAGCAAAAACACACAGCACACACAACATAAATTAGTTCTTATAGGAATATAAAAATTTAAACAAATTTAAAAGATAATAACATTGAGGTCAAAAGCTATGAATTAAACGGACTGTTTTGGTCACTCACAATAACAGTTTAACAGATCTTACATCTGCTCTTAAGGGGGTGGTGCCAGTTCACAGACTCACAATGATGTCAGAGGTGAGAAGGAATTTTATGTTAATTCAGGTCCGTGGCCCTCTTAAAGAGAGTGAGGAGATATTTCCCAAAGTCTCTCTGGGAGTAGTGTTGGGGTTCAGGACTGCCAGGTGAAGATCAGGGCTCAGAGACAGGAGACGGACCAACAGAGACAGGATGACGACCGTGGCTCTGCTGCTGCTGCTTATTTTTGCTTTTACATCCACCAGTGCCATACGTGAGTACATCTGAAGTTACTGACAATCTGTTTCTGTTTGTGGCTTCATTGTTCTTACTTTTGTGCATTTCATAACTTTTCGCTTCATTTTTATTCTTGACTACGTGAATCTTATTCTCACTTTTATCTGCAATCAAAAAGGTAAAACAACGTTTCAATTATATTTTTTTCAATAAGAAACCAGTTTTATTTTCTTGGATGGATTTTTGATTTGATGTCTTTTTCAAAACTGAAATTTCTAAAACAAGACAAAAATATTTACATAAAAATTAAGTTTTCTCTTTTGTTTGAGAAATTCAAAGTTTAAGAGTCTAAATAATTTGTTAAGGTTGAGCAATTTGGATGTGTTGGATGTTGGACCTTTGTATCAACATCTGACAGAGTGATTGTAATCACTGTGTCCAATGTAAGCTGCAACATTTACGTTTCCCATTAAGCATGACGTTACTGTATAACTGTATTTCTTTGTTGGATAATAAATAGAGCAGCAAATGGATTGATCCGTCATTCCACCCTCATTCCACCCTAACACTCTGCACTCTGTTTAACAGAGACAAGATCTACAAACTTTTTCAGGCCAATTTTATGCAATTACTTTATTTCTCATGGCAATTTTTCAAGGAATGTCCTTTAAATCAGAACACCCAAAACTAAAATCATTCACACATTCACACGCACACATGCATGAACGCACGCACGCACACACACACACACACACACACCTCAGACTGTGGAGAGAGAGAGAGAGAGAGAGAGAGAGAGAGAGAAGAAAAGCCAGTGAGTCTAGGATCTCTCATTCCTCTCTCTAGGATTACTGATGCTGCTGCTCAGCTGATGGTCACATGAAGGGGATTGAGGGAGTTTGCAGGTCGTGTGACTCCCACCGCCAAGAACCCTGACACTCCTGAAGCCCCCTCAGCACCGAAAACACGTTTACATGAGCATCATTACTGTTGCTTTATTTTCATACAGAATTTAGGCTTATTTCTCCAGCTACTGGAATAATTAATCTGTTAATGAAACAGTGGTGATGACCTTTAAATACACACTCATAACTTATGATCATGTGTAATCATTCCACTTTATCCAATTTAGTTTACATTTGTATTGTTTGATTTTTTTTTTGTTACCTGCTTGTTTGTATTGGGTGTATTGTATTTATTGTTGTACAGTTCGTTTGGATGGTATATATAACGCACATTAATTATCTATATAGTTGTAATTGTATAAGATAATTCATTTTATTTCAGGTTGCCTTGTAAGACCTGACTGTAGGAACAACAGATTAAAATGAGTTTGTACAACTAACTCTGGCTCAGTTACATTGGGCTATTGTGTCTGTTGATTCATGAGCACTGTCCCAATCAAATGAATAAATAAATAAAGTCAACAAACTGTGAGACTGCTGAAATATGAGATGAATGCTAGACAGTGTGTTTAATCCTGCACAAGCATAAATATACATGTATAAGCGACTATACTGACAAATACAATCAACTGTATATTTGAAAGATTTTAAAGATAAATTTTTTTTGCCTCACTTGGAATCACTCGGTGATAGTGTTGGTTTTTGATGAGCTGCACGGTGTAGCTTCTTGTCCTGAAGAGTTTGTTATATTCCTCACAGAGCGAAGAAGTCAGTTCACACGTTACCGCTCATGGAACTCACGGATGTATCCTGTCTGGAAGGATGGAGACCCGAGATTCAGAAACTGTTGGTTTGGTGAGCTCTCTCTCGCTCTCTCTTTATTTTTATGCTGCCAGTCGATCTAAATATAATAAATTGTGTGTATTTTGTTTTCCAGGTGGTGAAGTAACCTTTGACCTTAAAAGTGATGGACCCACTCTGACTGGTGCAAGAACAACCTTCAGTATTAATCTAAATTTCCCGCCAAATCAGACGACTCTCTCAGACGGTCAGGTGGTGTGGGCGCGTAACTGCACCATCAACGGTAAGTTAACACACAAGCTTTGGCGTTACACAACCTTTTGTAATGTCATTGATTTTTTCCCGCTGTCCTCATTAATGATCAAAACCACAAGCAGATTAATACACAAAATATAAATTAAATGGTAATATTTGACCTTTTGCAGCAGTAAGGATACAGTGTTACTCTTGAATTTGGAACTCCTCACAATTAATTTCAATCAATAATAGTAATAATATGTTCTTCTTTTATTTCACCTGTGGTGCCTCGTCTTAATATATAGGAGTTGTTTTCCCCTGTCTTTTATTATACTGATGTGTGATCTATGACGGTCATGTTTCTCAGGACAACAGTATCAGGAGGGTCAGGCTGTGTATCCAGATAAGGACACTCAGCAGACGGGTCTTTTTCCAGACGGCACACCATTCACCAGGAGCCAGAACAAGAAACCACACTATGTGTTCGTTTGGAAGACATGGGGTAAAGATCTAGAAAATAAATGAGCCTATTTCAGGCTTAATAAATTGTTTGTTACATAGGCTATAATGTCATATGTTGTATGTAGTAATGTTTTAGCCCCACTTGATTTTAATAGAGGTAAGGGGTATGTTATTACTGAGTAAATTACTGAGTGATGAGAAAACCAATCCTTATCTCCATAGAGACACAATGAAACACATCATAGAAGGTTGTAAAACTATCAATGGGATCTTGTGCTTTACCCAGTGAAGCAAAAATGTGCCTTTGGACACATGACGAAGCTGATCTGTGATCGTCTCTAACATTTGACTGTATATTTGGTTGATGCGTCATCATCGCCCTTAATATCTGGAGACACACTGTAACAGGAAATACACACTGAATATAAAGTGTGCTGTTAACTCAGGAACTTCAAATGTGAATAATTGTCTCAATTAAATTTATTGTTCTGTAAAAAAGTTTTGTAGCACTGTGGCCTCAGTTGACCACATTTATTCCAGATGAATAACCAGGCAAAGAAAGAAATTGCCTGGGCCATGTTCATTGTTTGCAGTTGGTCCATAGCACGTTTAATAATTGTAATTTTCACAATATTTTTTATGGGTTGTAAATGACTATTTGTCTATCTATGAAGCCCTGTGTGAGGTTTTATATGAGGGGTCCACATCCCACAGGGCCCAAAGTGGGTTAATTCAGTAAAGTGAGTAAAAAGTAAAAACACAAATCAAAGTATTCCTATGACAGTAGCAGAGATCACAACCAAGCAAGACAAAGAAAGCCTGAATTCAAAATTGGTGATGAAGACTTGTTTTAACCAGTAGTCTTAACTCTGCTGCTACTGTACTTATACACAAATTAAACATGAAACAGCTTCATCATATCTATTGTATAGTGAGTCTCCAGAATGTGTAATTTAACTGAGTAGTGCATTGATTACCAGTTTCCTGTAAATGATCCCATTGTTGCTGTGTTCAAGGGAGATACTGGCAGGTGGCAGATGGACCGTCCTCCTCCCTCACCATCGGTACAGACAACGTCCCCCTGGGCTCTTACAACATGGAGGTTGTCATCTATCACTGCCGCGGCAAAAACAAGTTCATCCCTCTCGGCTATGCCTCCTCAGTCTTCTCTGTCACAGGTAACCCATTCAACAATCTTAAACCCAAACCTTTAACAATCCCCATCACAACATTTCAACATCTTTTGATTTGTCATCAGATCAGATTCCCTTCAGCATATCACTTGCCCAAATCAATGACATAAACCAGGACGACCAGAACTTCATCCAAAACCGAGCCATTGCTTTCAGTATCAAGCTCCATGATCCCAGCCAGTATCTTGGCAACGCCGACATCAGCTTCAGCTGGGACTTTGGTGACAGCAGTGGGACGCTGATCTCCAGAGAGCAAACTGTCACACACACATACCTTGCTGTCGGGAACTTCAAGCCGCAGGTGGTGCTGATGGCAAGTATCCCTGGTGGCTGTGGAAACCCCACTGCTGGTAAGATTTTGAATTCATCATTTGTTTTGTAAATGCGATCCTATGTGATGTCTGAATTCTGTTACGCTCCGTTGTTTTTAACTCCTCTCTCTGTGGCTCCTGTTGATGCCTCTGCAGCTCCAGCAGTAATTGTGATAGACCCCACCCCAGCAGCACCAGCTGAGGCAGGAGATGCAATTGCACTGGATGTCTCTGCTTCTGATGCCACCCCACTTGCTGCTTCTGTCCAGCCAGCCGACACAGCTGCAGATACAGTTGATGGAGAAGCAGTTGTTGATGCAGATGCAGAGGTAGTAGAGGTTGCCTCGGTAGCACCTGCAGGAGTTGATGCAGCTGTTGTTACAGAAGAAGAAGATGCTGCAGAAGTAGATGTTGCTGCAGAGGAAACAGATGCTACAGCAGGGGAGGCAGCCACTGCTGCCCCTGTTGCACCTGCAGCTGAAGAGCCAGAAGATGCAGAGACAGCTGCAGTCGATACAGCTGCTGCCGATACAGCTGCTGCCGATACAATTGCTGCCGATACAATTGCCGCAGATACTGCCACTGCCGATACAGCCGCTGCCGATGCAGTGGCTGTAGATGCCGATACAGCTGTTGCTGATGAAGCTGCTGCAGATACAGATGCTGCAACAGCTGTCACTGAAGAAAATGTGCCTGTGATTGATGCTGCTGTTGCAGAGGGAGACGAAACTGCAGTAGAGGTCACTGCTGGAGTCACTGTTGCTCCTGTGGCAGAAGAAACTGTCGAGCAAGAAGCTGAAGTTGTGGCTGCTGATGCTGCAGCAGAGGTTGTCCCAGTTGAAACAGCAGACCCTGCTGATAACGTTGTCGCTCCTGTTGCCACTGAGGCCACAGCTGTAGAAGAAGCAGCACCAGCAGATGCTGCAGCTGATACTGAGGCTGAAGTACAGGAAACTGAGAATGAAGTTGTAGCTACTGTAGCTGCTGCAGGTGAATGTCTATTTTAAACTAAACTAAGTATACACGAAATAAAATGGCCTCTCTTGTTCCAGTGATATAATGATACATTTTCTCTATTTCTCCCCAGAGATACCAGCTGTTGAGGAAGAGGCGGCTCCAGGTGAAGGTGAAGTTCAAACTGAAGTGGAAGCAGATCCAGCTCAAGTTGTTCTTGTTGTGGCTAAGAGACAAGCACCAGAGCTGGCAGCTGATTGTATGGTCTACCATTATGGCTCCCTTGCCACTTCAGTGGATGTCGTCCGTAAGTAATTATGTTTTTGGTTGTAATTGTAGATTATTCCTTATCTGATAGTATAATGCTTAAATGAGAACAGTATGGTTTAACAGTGTTAAAATCTCTCTCATCTTTCAGAGGGTATTGAAAGTGTAGAGATCGTACAGGTGTCCAATGTTGTGTCAATGGTGACAGAGTTGGATCAAAATGCTGTGGACCTCACTATCTCCTGTCAGGGAAGGTGGGTATATTCATTGAGGTCACTGAGTCATCACAATTTGCAAGTTGGTAAAGTTGTGTTTGTTAATTTATCTCCATACTCCACACTATATTTTCTTCTCATTCAAACCATAGTCTATATATTACGATAGACTACACATCTCCACTTCCTCCCGTTGCACAAAAATTAGTCAATCTTGATTTTTCACCCTATTCTTCATGGCATCGAATAACTGATTCAAACCAAATTTAGTGGAAAAATTAACACTTTATATATACGATATATATCAGTGTATAAGAATGGTCTAAAATGACAGATACCACCTTTGAGAGAAATGTATTTAACATGCACTTTGACTTTTTAGTTTGGTCCATGTCCCATCCACTAACATGGAGGAGCAGGGTTTGTGTCCTATACTGCAGGCAGCCCCCAGGGGTCATTGAGATGCTTTGGCTTCAGGACAGGAGCTGTCATGTCATGTCCTCCATCTTTTTAAACAGTCTATAATTCAAACAGTGATGAAAGTAGACAGATTATATTAAAAGTTGAACTCAATTAATTTGACAAATGTTAGAATCTCCAATAATCAAAACAGTAAATCTAAATAATAAAAGCACACGGAGGGACAGAATGTTCACTTATAGTCATTTTGTGAAAAGATTTTGTCTTATCTTGATAAGTAACTTCTAAGTAATACAGCACTTATCTCCTGGTTATCTTACATGGGAGCTGTGTCATATAATTTATCATTGTGTATCATGTTGAAGCTAAGATTAATATGTGCACTTATTAATGGTCTCCTCTATTCTTCTTTCAGTCTCCCAAGTGAGGTGTGCACAGTCATTTCAGATGCTGACTGTATCACACCAGTGGAAACCATCTGTAATGCAGCCACACCTTCTCCGGACTGTCAGATGATCCTTCGTCAGTTCTTCAATGACTCTGGAGTGTTTTGCATCAATGTCTCCTTGACCAATGATGTCAGTCTTGCTGTGGCGAGTGCCAGAGTCAGTGTAACAGTAGGTTAGTAAAAGAAAAATGAATTATCAGCCACTATAATGACTTTATTTACCTGTTACTCCTTCTCATTCTTTCAATGTGCTTTAATTACAGCCTCTGGTGGTTCCCCAGCTGGAACAGCCGCCACTGTCCTGGGTGTTATGGTTCTCGCCTGTGTCGTCTGTTGTATTGGTTTGATGTACAGGTGAGTCAGTAATTTATGAACCCAATTTAATCTCGGGATAAAGTTGTTTTTGATTGCAAAAATAACACATTAAACATAAATTGCGTGCAAGGTATTGCAATCTTTTACCCTGGTGTCGTATAAAACAAGTTCACTGTCATTCTCTGAATCAGTACTTTCTCTTTCTAATTGTCATTCAACCTTGACATGGGTGTGCTAGACCTTTCTCACATTTTTCCCACTTGTAGCAGGAAGAACACACTGACAATAATGTAGGTGTGTCAGTCAGCCACTGTGTACAGTCCAGGAATTTATTGAACACCCAAACTGACAGCTTCCTGATCGACAAGTCTGCACAACAAAGCTTTCTGATAACATCAGGATGAAAACATGCTCACATGGCCCCTGTTCAGACTGGTATTAACATTTGTCTGTGGTGATCCGCTCACAAGTGGTCAGCTCTAAGTGCGGCAGTTCACACTTGGTATTAGTCTTTCCACTTGGTGACTGCTTGTGATCAGATCTCACTTCCCAGCTCTATATGCAAATAAACATGTATGTCTTTTCTGTTCACAAGACCAATTTATGTTTTTTAGCCAGTCTGACTATAGAGATAAGTCTGTCGTCAATGTATTGTTGTGTGTGTCGCTGTGAGAAGGACAGAGAAGAGAGAGAGCCAAGAAGTGCTGAGTGAATCAATGTTCTGTGTGAAGCTCTGCTATGACATATCAGATTTATTAATTTGAAGAAAAAGAAAGAAGAATGAGGCCCAGGACGTGAGGACAGATGTGAACACATTTCACCCAAAAACCCAAATGTTGACACACATTTTTGGCCTGTTAAGTGCCATATGTACTCACTTTGAACTTTGTCATTAGTAATTTTTTATTCCATGTATTGAAACAGACGGTTCAAGCAGTACCAGCCCCTCAGAGAAGACCATAGTGGAGGCAGCTCGACAGTCACATCTGTGCCTTTGTTGTTGTGGAACTTGTTGAGCCGACAGTCGCCAGGAGAAAGTCGTCCGCTGCTTCAGGGGAGGATTGTGTGAATATCACCAGCCGCTCATGCACTCAACATCTACAACCCGTGCTAACATATCGGCTTTATACACATAATACTCTTCTGTAGTATTTTGTAACTCCCACTCAATGTAATGAACCAAAACCAGTTGGAGTGAACCAGACGTGTACAACACATTTGCTGGAATAGAAAGGAGTCACACGTGTAATAAAAAGTTGTAATAAAAAATGTTGAAACATTTTAGAGGAAAGTTATATTTATTTTGACACTAATAGTTTTAAGATGCGATAAGTCTTATTTGAGGCCTACTTATACTAAACCAATTGGAGAATCAGCATTAACACATTTCAGTTCTATTTCTTTACAATGAAATTTAAATCACGTGCACGGCAGAATAATTATCATGTTTGCTACCCTACAATGAATAAAGTGGAACTTTATCACTATCATTTGTTTGCTTTGTACGTATAGTGTGCATTCATTTTTAGTAATCAGACAGAATAACTGGTCAGCCATAATGCAGGTGATTGCTCTTCTTAATAAATGTGCTAGTGTTATATTTATATATAAATAAATAGTTGAATACAGAAACAGTGATGCTAAGCTAAAGAACCGGAACTGATGCTATTGATGTAACAATCTGCACGGCAGATGGAAAATGCACTGCAAATACTGTGTTTCCAGGGGACACTAAAAAGTGATGAACACAGATGTGATGCTTTACCCGGCCAATTCAAGTAATCTGACCAAATACACTTGATAAATTGAGAAACAGGCTAACATCATGTTAAATGGCAATATAACATGCTAACTTTTTTTTTTGATAAACATGGGTTTGTCATTTCTGTGGAATTGTTGATCTGAAAAAGATATAGCATGTAATAGGTATTTTACATGACATTAGCCCAATTTCCCAATTAATTTAGTGTAATTCATCAGGGTAATAATAAGCAGCAGTGGGTTAACAGCATTAATGTAAGTGCTAAAAACGGATCGACTGGACTGGACTGGAGTTTTTTGAGGACGTTTCACATCTCATCCAAGAGGCATCTTCAGTGCTAACTGAGTGCTGTCATAGCTTGTCATAGCAGGAAGAACACAGTGGCAATAATCTGGGTGTGTCAGTCAGCCACTTGAACACCCAAACTGACAGCTTCCTGATCGACAAGTCTGCACAACAAAGCTTTCTGATAACATCAGGATGAAAACATGCTCACATGGCCCCTGTTCAGACTGGTATTAACATTTGTCTGTGGTGATCCGCTCACAAGTGGTCAGCTCTAAGTGCGGCACTTGGTTCACACTTGGTATTAGTCTTTCCACTTGGTGACTACTTGTGATCAGATCTCACTTCCCAGCTCTATATGCAAATAAACATGTATGTCTTTTCTGTTCACAAGACCAATTTATGTTTTTTAGCCAGTCTGACTATAGAGATAAGTCTGTCTCTTGCTTTGCCCTGTATAGTGTGCATTCATTTTTAGTCAGACAGAATAACTGGCAAAGTACTTCACAACAACTAGTAACCACCTGAATTAATCATAAACTACTGTATTAAGTATTTACAAAAGATCTATTAATCAACTCGCTAACCATTGGTGCATGTGTAACTCATTACATGTATAAATACATGTACAAATGTAAAGGTAAATAATTTGTTAACCATGTACTTACATCTTCTAGGATCTTATTAACTATTTACAACTCCTAAATAACTGGTTTGTAATGTATGTAATATTTAATTTAGAAAAGGTCAATAAATAATATACAAAGAATGAAAATAAAATAAAATATAAATGCTTTATAAATGATGAATTCACTCGTTAATGAAACTTAACTAATGCTTCATAGTGTTACCAAGAGGTCAATATATTACAAATTTACAATTTGCCACAGGTTAGTTTTAGATGTCAACAAAACACTAACACATCACATTCATAAATTATATAAAATACATAATATACAATACAGTGTTTTAAAACAGATTAATTTGCTTTGTTTGGTCTACAGCTAATAGTAGCAGAGATGTGTTCAAGAAGTGGTGTGGTTATAGGTTCACTGCAGCTGAGTGCTGAAAAATATTACCATCCTGCTTCACTCTCTGTTCAATTAAAAAGATTTACTATGATGTTGCTGACTACATTTGTGCACTGAGCAGACAAAGAGCTGCTGGTTACATGTACATCATATGACACACTGCAGTGCAGGAGAAAAAGGCTGACGTCACTGCAGCAAAATCCTTAATGGAAGAAGCCATGGTCTGGCCGACACAGCAAAAACATGTGGACTAATGGGGAACTAAAAGAGATCAGGTCTTTCCTTGATAACACGGTCAGCATGAGTGGGAGTTTAGAGTGAAATCTTTTTTTTAGAACTGATTTAAAATTTGGACCACTGTAGATTAATTAAAGATTAATTTAGTTCTCTCTATGAGATAAGAAATCAACTGTGATTTTCTCAGCAAAACTCTCTTTCACAAGTTAATTTGTATTAGTGTGGTTTTGTTTCTTCATAATGTGCTTTCTGTGGGGTGAAGTCATCATCGTCATAACAGTTTGACTTGCTCTCCCTGATGTCACCCCCCAATCTGACACTAGTCAAAAAATCGGGGGGAACAAACCAGAGTCGTTGCAGCAAAGTGTGAAATCAGTTAGCAAATGTTTTGTTAAACAAAATTAACTTTAATAATGCTGTGCAAGAACACTAACTAATCTGAAGGATGTACATGTCCTTATTGATCAAGGGCCTGTTGCCTTTCACTCCCCAAAAAGTAAGAATCCAGCCAGTATCCTTATGTGGACTTTGGTTATTTCTCAAGTGGTGAAAAAAGTATCATGCAACTAGTTCATATACCAGTGTGAAATATCAATGTGTGGCTGATTGGCAACACCTCAAACGTTAACACGAACATGAGAAAAGCTCTGAGCACTCTACTTCTGCCTTGATCTTCATCATGCACTCAGACTGAGTGAGACTGTAAACGCTTGAGTAGTGCTGAAGGGAGACAGGTGGTACTGATGAGAGGTGCTGAGGCTGAAACATTTCATTTCTGAGGCAAACATGGCTGTCTTTCAATTGGATCTCCAGATGAGTATGGACTGAAGGGCAACACTTTGCATCTGAATGTCAGGAGTTGATTCAACAGATGGGCGACAAAGTGATAACTACTATAACTACAGAGATACAACAGGCAAAGAATTTTTCTGTGATTGCACAATGCAAGTTTCTTTGACCTTGTTCAGTCTTTATGTGATAGACAGGAATTATCATCATGAAAAAGAAAAGCTGCGGCTGCTTTGCCTTCCCTTTGACATCAAATGCTTTTAGGCTTAAAGCCAAGTTGTAATGACTACTTTCAATGGTTACTATTCATTTCCTAATGAAGTACAGTGCTCTCCATAATAAATTAGAACTTTTCCATTTGTTATGTTTGATTTATTAAAGGTTCAGTGTGTACAATTTAAGTGAAAGGGATCTATTGGCAGAAATGTAATATAAAATAATCCTAGTAATGTTTTCACTAGTGTGTTTCATCTAAATTGTACAAATTGTTGTTTTCTGTACTCTGGAATGGATCTTTATATTTAAATACTTTATATTTATTTATATTTACATCAGGAGCGGGTCCACTCTACAGAGGCCGCCATGTTCATGTCATCCAAACTGGACAAGGTTTTAATTACAACTGAAGGCTGCAACAGGTTCTCTGTCATGTTTGGAAGCAGAGGGTGAGGTGAGGGGTGTTCAGCTGCAACATGAAACTTAACCACTAGATGTCACTTGATTCTACACTCTGAACCTTTAAACAAAGAAAAACGAATCCTGGCTCAGGGCCCATAAAACATTTGTACCCAGGGGTCTGTAACTTGATGATCTGGCCCTGAGCTCTCTTTACTTAAGTATTCCATGTGAATATCCTTCTACACTGCAGTGATCAATTGCAGTCATTAGCAAACACAGCCATTAATCATTCTCGACTGCTAACACGTTTCTTGGTCACATGTATCAAGTGCTGTTCAGTCATCTCCGTTCACTCCAGATGTGTTTTGCAGCCAAGGCAGAAGCCAACAGCTCTGCTGGGAGACCATCATTTTTCACAGATGATCTCTATCTCGGCCCTGACAGCTCCTCCGGATCTTACCAACCCTGCAGCTTTTTATAGGTCACAGCAATAGCAGTGCAGCATCATTGGCTGAAATGTTTTAATTCCAGCTAAAGGCTGACTGGTTTTTAAATGGTCAGTTTACTGGGCCTTTATCTTACTTTTGCTCTGACTATTCTCAGCACTGCCTGGCAACAGATCTTTTGCTTTATCTGTCCTCCACACGGAAGACACCTACCAAAGTCACAGACATAGTGACGACACGCTGCTGCCCATGATCAGCATATACAGAATATTATCATGCTGTTGCTTCCTGTCAAACATATCTCTACCTTAAACTGTATTTTAAATGGATTGAATTTATATAGCACTTTCCTAGTCTTATCAACCTCTCACTTTACAGTACTGGTCACAGTCACACACATTCATATGATGCAAAATGCTTTTTCACACCATTCACACACTGCACGGCTGTCAGGGACAGTTTTTCGGGAACTGTCTTGCCTATAAGGACATTTCGGCTTTCAGACCGGAGGAGCCTGGGATCAAACCCCCAACCTTCTGGTTCCTGAACCACAGCCGCCCCAACCTCAGTGCCTCTCTCTGGTTGCATCAGAAAATATAATGCAGTGGATAGTTTAGTGTGCCATAGTGGCAGAAATATACTGCTGTACTGAATGTACTAAATTACACTTTTAAAATAGACCATTTCTTTAACATACATGCATACTCTTTTGTAATGTCATGTTTGCAGTTTTAATTCTGACCACACACAAAACTTGAACTAAAAGGTTCAAGAATTTAATAAATTGTCCCATTTAAATTAAATTATATCCACAAGTTTATACCATTTTCCCATATAACAGAGACAACCCACATACTACTAGCAAAGGGAACTGATACTGTAGCCTGACACTGTCGAAGCAGCATGATTGAATTTATGGCCCCAACGGGAATTCTTGGAGAACCAGAAGGATCAATTGCTAATTGTAACATCTGGCTGAGGGTTAGTATTACTGATATAGTCCAGACAAAAATCATTGAGTTGAATATTTTTTGCTTATGCATCTGTGTGACTGACATAAATATTGTTAATAGAGTGGAGGTATGCAAATGTCCTCTTGAAACAGGTCTAAAACTGTGACAGAGGCCTTATGGGCAGGTTGGAGCAGGATGTGGAAAAATAATAGAGTGAAATGTGCTTTGTGCAGAGAGGGTGAGACAGGGCGTGAGACAGAGGAGGAGGGAGGGGGAGGAGAGAGTTACCATGAAGCAGGTTGATTAGATTACAGAGAAAAGACTCACATTTATTACACAGAGAGCCAGATCTTTCCATGCAGACCTCGA